CACCTCCTCCCACCCAGGTGCCATTCCCACCGTGACGGGGCAGCGCGTTTACAGGGGTCCATACTCGTAAAGAGATGCCCAGATTTCACACAGCAACACAGATCAAGTCAACTTGCATTATACACACTTCCCCAGTGCCCACGTGTCAAGGAACCCCACCCCGACTGTCATCACAGCATCTACTGAGCACTGACTATGTCCAGTATCAAGGGCGCTGCATGTGTTAAACTTACACAATCCCCACAGCAAACCACAAGGGGATACTATTATGATCCTCACCTTACATATGAGGAAACAGAGGCACAGAGAGTTTAAGTAACTTGCTCAAGGTCACATAGCTAGTAAATGCAGAATTAGGACTCAAACCCAGACATGTGGTCTCAAGGCCTGTGCTCTGACACTGTTTTCAGAATGCGTGGGAGAAAAACACTGTCATAGAGATAATTTGCCCTAACGTTTTTTTAAGTCTATTGTTCGAAAACTACTATCTTTTATTAACAATGAATGACATAAAACATATCTCACAACTGCACAGAACTCCACCAGCACACAGGAACTAAAACAACTCATAAATGACCCCAAACACCTCACATTGTTAACCTAACTGGTGAAAATGGCTTCACAATTCACTGCTTTTCTACCCAAAATTATGTAAAATGAAAACTCAGCTTTTCCACTATTTGATTAATTTTCAGTAAAATTTTGTTGGCACAAGTTTTTGGTCTCCATGGTATGAAAGCTGAATATTCTTTTGTAACGTTTATTATCAATGAATCAAAAACTCTTTCAAATCCTGATGTTCCTTGAGGAAAGAGAAAAACCGACAAATGGCCTAAGTTGACAGGACTGTGGTATCACCAAAAACAGGGCTTCAGTCTGCTGTAAAAGCTACTTACTACTCTAGTGAGGAAGGTGCACCGGTTTGAAAAACTAATTGAAATTAATTACAAGTTTCAAGGACTTCAGATGTAAAATCATGCATTATACAAAAGGTACTTTCAAGGTGAATTTATTTTTCAGAACTTGAACTAATTCGGCCTCTTAAATGTCTGTCTCTCTCTCACAGAAGATATCAATAGCAGAGAAATGGTTTATGAATTGCAATTTATGTAGCTTTATGAATGACATTCAAAAATTCAAAAGGCATTATCAGAATGCAATGGACAGAAAGATAAATCAAATACAATTTTATAAGAAACAAAATCCAGCTTCACTTACAGGGTTATTACGGTCTGCAAATTCATCTGCTGAAACCTATTCCCTCAGGCGGTGGTATTCGGAGGTGGGGCCTTCAGGAGGCGAGAGGTCACGAGGGCGGAGCTCTGTAAATGGGATGAGTGCCCCACAAAAGAGACCCCCAGGAGATCCCTTGCCCCTTCTGCCATGTGGGGTTACAATGAGAAGAGAGCTGCCTATGAGAAGGCGGGCGCCTTGATCTTGGACTTCCCAGCCTCCAGAGCTGTGAGAAATAGATATCTGTTGTTTATAAGCCAGCCCGTCTGTAGTAGCGTTACAGCGGCCCGAATAGACTGTCAACCATGTTATATTCTGAACGGAACTCGTGATAGAACTCATGATAGGCAGGTTTATTCTTTAAAGCCTAATTTAGTTCACCTTTAAAATGCAAGTGTGATTACATTTCAAAATATTTTAGCAGTCTCTTTTCTACAAACACTTTCAAGACAAAGTCAGGCAACGCCATCTACAGGAGACCTTTGGAACAAGTAGTATTTCCATGACCCACACTCTCCTTGAATGAATACAATATCCACAGTCTGAGTTAATATTGTATTTCCCCTCATTTAACAAGGACACTTTCAAGAAAAAGGGTAAGAAAAATTTAAAAAGTATGCTATGTAAAAACGCCACTGTCATTCTGGGTTATTAATACTTCTTTTTTTTTTTTTTAATAATTTTATTTATTTATTTATTTTTCCCCCAAAGCCCCAGTAGATAGTTGTATGTCATAGTTGCACATCCTTCTAGTTGCTATGTGGGACTCGGCCTCAGCTTGGCCGGAGAAGCAGTGCGTCTGTGCATGCCCGGGATCTGAACCCCGGCCGCCAGCATCGGAGCGCACGTACTTAACCGCTAGGCCACGGGGCCGGCCCAATACTTCTTAAAATAATTAAAAATAATCTAACTTCACTGCCAGGCTCACCAAACGTGATCCGTGGACCAGTGGTTAAGTCCTACGGCAGAGGAGACTGGTCATGGGGACACACCTGCAACAGTGTTCTTTTCCCAGTGATTGAATCCCCCTTTCAATCACTGGGAGTTGCATCACCTCTACCTTTTTGGCAGATTCTCTAAATTTCCAGATATTTAAATAGTTTCTAGGGCTCAGCCCTGTTTATCTTAAAGCCTCCTACTTCATAGGTTCCACATCGGGTTCAAAGCTCTTTCCCTCCTATGCAGTGTCAGCCCACTCTAACCACTCTAATGTGCATTTTTACATTTCTCTTCCCTTTTCTCTGCTCTCTTCCCCTTGGGAAGTAGACGTTAGAAGTGGTTTCCTGATTGCAATGGTTCTCAATTTTGACTCAACATTAAAACCATCTGGAGCCCTTTAACAAAAACAGCATGCCGCTGACTTAATGGGAGTGGGATGGGCCTGACAGGTCTTTAGTTTGCTTCTGATTTTCCAGGTGCAGCCAAAGTTGAGACACACTGCCTTACTGTGGGGGCTCCCTACTCGGCTATAACTGCATTGTGATAAGTGGCCCATGGGCTTCACTGAGCACAGTGCCTCATTCCTCAGCACCGGCAGCCCCTTGAGATTTGGGAGTTGGCTGTATTCTGGCTGACCCCCAGCTAGGGGCATCACACCTCACTCATCTGTTGCACTTGCCTTTTAACCTCCCCATGATGCTGCAGAAGTCCTCCAGCCCCCAACTCGTGTATCACCTCTCGGGCTGGCAGGAGCCACCAGCAATAACTCTGCTGACAGTCCCCACATTACCTCTCCAATCCCATTCCCATGCTCTGGAATAAAACAAACAACAGATGCGCTCATTTGCTGGGTTAACACATCCCACCAGGTGGAAAAACAACTGGTCTTCCCTCAATCTTGAATTATTTCCCAGGCCTCCCTCCTGTGGTCTCTGAGTGCAGATGCACCCTTCCCCCAGTCATGAGAGCCCACAGGACCACTCCCCACTCCCCAACACCGCACTCCTCCTCAAGGAGCCCTCTCCCGGCCGCCCCGCTGTCTGTGGAACATGGTCAGCTACAGGGTGTCTTCCATGAACTGGCAGCTCTCAATGAACCCTGAACCTGGGGACTTGGTACCTTTCAACCTCTGCTTTGGCCTTATTTCAGAATAGGAAAAACATCCCACTTGACCTTCTGTTAGAAATTACTTAACTCTTAGGTTAGTCAGTAACTTAGGTCAGTTCCCCAGACACAGACAGCGAGGAACACACGCAAGTGACTTACGAAGGACGTGATCAGTCAAGTAAGGGAGTGGGGACTGGACAGAGAAGGGCAGGAAGCACACACAAGCAAGGGTGTGGTTCTGGCGACGTGACATAGAGGCTGACCTCCTCCAGGAAGTTCTGGAGGGCACGATGCAGCTGTCCGAGGCAGAGGAGCTGTATGACGTTCACACAGGAACGTCAAGGGAGGAGGCTGAAAAGGGATCTGCAGAAGCTGGGTGGATGACTGCAGCCGATCAATGTCAAGCTTATTTTTACAAGTTCCATAATGTTATGGAACAAGCTAGAAAGTGGTCATTTGTCCCAAGACTTCACTAATAATAAGCAGTGCTATCTGTAACTACAAAGCATCATGTATTTAGGTTACACTAACTGCTTAGTAAACTGCTTAATGAAATGCTAAAGGCGTATGAACAAAGTATTTTGAAAAAGAACAGCAAAGCAAACTTTCAAGACTGAAGTAAGCCTGAAGGAAAGAACAGTTCTTGTGACCTTGATCCTTAATTTCTCTAATTAGGGCTGCTTTCGCTCTTTCTATAAAGCAGTCAGCTGCTTCACATGCTCATTTTCTGTAAAGCTATTTCTGAAACATTCACAAAGTCACAGAATCTCAAAAACAACATTTATTTTAACACATAAACTGTGCCACCGAGCACCCATGCCTGTGAGCACCAGAATTCCATCGGGTTACCACTCCTCTTCGGAACGAGTGTAAGTCCTTGACAGACAGTCTGTGCACAGATTATCAGGATAACACAAGACAGAGACTACACCAAATACAAATCATTTGATGAATGTATACAGAACCACATTTGTAGTTATTTAAAAACCTTTCCCTGTTTCATGTAAACAAGTTAACACCAGTGATTTTAGCCACATTTTCCTGGAAGATACACATGAGGAAAAGCGCATGAGCCATACAAGTGCACAAGCCCGAAACCGGGCTTTTCTTCTCACTCCATTATCTAATAAGAAATTCTGTAGAGATCTCAGCCCCTCCCAGTCTCCTGATTTTCACTTTCATTCTTCCCAAGTCACTACAGTATAATTTACTATCTCACACAGACATCTATGGTAGAGGAAAAGAATAAAACTTTGGCCAACGTAAGTATACAAAGCAATATTTTCAATTTTTTTAAAATAAAAGAACATTTAAGTATTAAAGCTATCTTAAAAGCAATGAACAAAAATAAGCAATGAACATATCTTTAAAAGCAATATGACAAAACCACTGCAAAATTATGTTAAAACGAAAACCTCCTTTTACACGTGTCTATCTTGAAACACTACAATTTACTGGTTTGAATTTAAACATTGTTACATAGTAATAGATAGCTCTCTTTAGAAATTGGATCAATTTATCTCTAGTTTCCTGGAGATACGCCAAGTCAACCATGCTGCTTCCCTGTTTATTTCTGGCAGACTCTGGGCTCACCTCAATACCTGGTTGTTATTTGAGGAGTGACTGATACACAATGCTTCCTTTAAGCAGAACTTGATACTGAGCTAAAAGTAAACTAAGCTGGATTTCAGTCCCCTGGCAGGCAGGCAGGCAGGCAGGCAGGCAGGCAGTCATTTTTCATATTGCAGGCAGCCCGTGGTGGTTGTCGTCTATAGATCAGGTCTCTAAGGACATGCTGGAAAAATCTGTGAACATCATCTTTCCATGCTGTATTCACATGCTCCATTCACATCTTTAGCTTACCCAGGTTGTTAGAGGCTTGGGTGAAAGGATTCAAGATTTCATGATGGAAATTTCTGCAAGGAAAAAAAAAAAGGAAACTTTAAAGATTGCTTTCTTATCACAAATTAAGTATTTACTGGGTACTTAATACTAGGTACTACGCCTAATAATGGCTAAATGCAATTCAAATGAACAACCATGCGTAACATTTAGAGATGGTTCTTTTTGCCGATACCTAAAGTGCAAGCAACCAAAGAAAAAACAGACACATTAGACATCATCAGAATTAAAAAACCTTGTGCTTCAAAGGCCTTACTATCAAAAAAATGAAATGACAACCCACAGAATGAGAAAAAGTATTTGGAAGTCATGTATCTGGTAAGGGCCCAGAATCCACAATACATAAAGAACTCTTACAACTCAACAGTAAAAAGATAATCCAATTTAAAAACAAGCAAAGTATTTCTGTAAAGATATACAAATGGCCAATAAGCACATGAAAAGATACTCAACATCATGTCATTAAGGAAATGAAGATAAAAACCACAATGAGATGTCACTTCCCATCTACTAAGATGGCTCTACTCAAAAGGATGGACAACAAGTGCTGGTGAGGATGTGGAGAAACTGGGGCCCTCAGACACTGCTGGTAGGAATGTAAAATGGTGTAGCAGCTTTGGAATAGTTTGACAATTCCTCAAAAAGTTAAACATAGAGTTCCCAGATGACCTACCAATTCTACCCTAGGTATATCCCAGGAGATCTGAAAACACGTGTCACATAAAAATTTGTACAGAAATATTCATAGCAGCATTATTCATTATAGCCAAAAAGTGGAAACAACGAAAACGCCCACCGACTGAAGAATAGATGGATAAGGTGTGATCTATCCATACAAAGGAACACTATTAGACTATAAAAAGGAGTAACGTGCTGATTCGTGCTACAACATGGACGAACCCTGAAAACACAGTGCCGCAAGAAAGAAGGCAGACTCAGGAAGCCACGTAGTGTGTGATTCCATTTACACGAAATATTCGGAACAGGCAAACCCACAGGCACAAAGTAGACTGGTGGTTGCCAGGGACTGGCCGGGGTGGGGGAAGCAGGAATAGGAAGTAACTGCTAACAGGTATGGAGTCTCTTTTTGGGGTGATGAAAATGTTTCAAGTTGGAAAGTGGTGATGGTTGTGTAACTTTGTGAATATACTAAAAACGACTGAATTGTACACTTTAAAAGGGTGAATTTTATGATATATGAATTATATCAATTTTAAAAAAAGAAATGAGGGGCCAGCCAGGTGGCATAGCAGTTAAGTTTACGTGCTCTGCTTCAGTGGCCCAGCCACAAAACAAGTCTCCACAAATTTAAGACGACTGAAATAATACTAAGCATCTCTTCTGACCACAACGGTATGAAACTAGAAATCAAGTATAGGAAGAAAATCAGAAAAGCCACGAATATGTGGAGATTAAACAAAATGCTACTGAACAACGATTGGGTCAACAAAGAAATCAAAGGAGAAATCAAAAAATACCTGGAGACAAATGAAAATACAACATGCCAGAATTTATGGGATACAGCAAAAGTGGTTCTAAGAGGGAAGTT